TGATTCTGCAGTGAAATCACATGATACCATTCTGATTCTGCAGTGAAATCAGATGATACCATTCTGATTCTGCAGTGAAATCACATACCATTCTGATTCTGCAGTGAAATCACATGCAATTCTATCCCCGCATTGAAATCACTTGTCATTTTCACTCCGCATTATTATCGCATTGAAGTCTTTAACTACTATTGGATTGCATTCTACCGCTAGTGATTTATGCGTGCTTGTGTCATATTTCGCAGTGACTGGCTCTACCGCGGCAACTATGACAACAGCAATTATTCTAACGATGGCAGCGTGGCGAACGGGTTCAACTATCACTGTGGCCCGGTAAGTAATTAGCACACCTAACTTTGTGCGTGCGTGCGTGTGTGCGTGTGTGGATGTGGGTCTGCGATAAAGAGATCGCGTCTTTGTGTATGAGATTGTGTGTGTGTGTGTGTGTGTGTCTCTTGCTGGTAAATTCCTTAGTTACGTTAGTTATTAACAAAGAGATAAGATCCACCCTCCAGTGCATTAAATAAAGTTAAATAAAACTCGCTGGTAAATTTCTTATTTCTGTTGTCTCACTAGCAAACAGATAAGATCATTTTTATAACTTCGGCAGATAAAACTAAAACTTGCTTGTAAATTCCTTCGTAACATTAGCTTTCATCAATGTGGCAAGTTTCACCCTCTTTCAACTCGGTAAATAATAATTTTCTAGTAAAATTCATTAGTTATATTAGCTATCAGCAATATGGGTAATACGATACGCCCTCTACGAGTTGAACCACCATCTCACGTCGAGTGTGTGTGTGTGTGTGTGTGCATCGCGCGTGTGTATGCATGTGCATCGGTTCATACGTTCTTCCAGGAGTGGGTTTGGCCGGTCGGATATTTCCTGCGTGCCAAACTGTACTTCGCATCGCGCGTTGCTGAGCCGGGAGCACTGGACAACACCATCTCTAAGGTGAAGTCTGTACTGTCGCACCACTACAAGGAGATTCAGCGGTCGCCATGGCGAGGCCTGCCCGAACTGACTAATCAGGACGGAGCGTTCTGTCGCGACAGCTCGCCGACACAGGCGTGGAGCATGTCGGCCATCTTGGAGGTCATGTACGACCTTCACAATCTAAAGTAGAGGTCGTACTGGTTAGTAGTAGTAGTGGTGGTGGTGGCATCAGCTGCCGTAGCGCTCCCCCGTGTAGAATGATTGTAGCTTTTTGAATCTGAGTGTACATAGTTTGTTCGTGTTCGCTGTGATGGTACCATATAGGATAGGTTGAATAGGCGTGTGCGCGCGTGTGGGCGCGTTTGCGCGCGCGTAAGAGGGTAAGAGGAATGCCTATGAGTACGCTACGTGGTGGATGGAGATGTTTGTGTGCCAGATTCTGTGGTCGGATTGTTATGTTAAATCTGCAGGCATGTGTGCTTACTGTTTGTGAAGTGTAGCCGTGACAGCGTTTTACTTCCATGCGTAAATAAATAAATAAATAAATAAATAAGTAATCAAAGTAATAAAACGATGGTGCATAATTAAAATGATATGCTATTCACATGTATAAAGGTAAGAGTAGTGACCACTGGGCTAAACAAAGGTTTATGCTGTTTTCTGATTTTAAATGCATTAGTTCGCTGGTTTTGTTTTCGGGCGCAGATCAGGTTATGATCTGTCAATTTTTGACGCTATCCACGTTTTAATTATTAACCGATTGCTACGGTACTGGACTTGAATTTTTACAGTGTCAACTGAGTTATTTTACATAGGCGAGCCACAATATCGATATCCAATCGGTATGCACTAAAATTTTAATCGGTTCTTGAATTAAATCGATAGGCTCCACGTGATTTATTGTTGTTCAAAAAAATCTTATTGCTTTTAAAAGTCGGTCAACCTTTCTCATCTTTAATTGCTATTGTTTTGTGAGAACGTCGTCATTCTGCAAAGTGGTCTATGCGTGTTTATATGGGGCCCAGTTGCTCGTTTTCACTGCTCAGTTCGGCTAGCGTAGTGTATTTCAGGGCGTCAAGTTCCTATTTTTTCCTATTTTTTCCTATTTTCTGGGCAATTCCTATTTTTTCCTATTTTCTGGACAAATTTTTTTTTTTTCCTATTTTTGAGGGCTTTTCATTTTTATGAATCCAGAATTGTATGTATCTTTCTCAGAATGCAGGAATTTACATTTCAGGTGACCCGATTTTCAAAAATTTCCTGGGAGAGGACCCCCAGACCCCCCCATCCCTTACTTTAAATTAACGTAATATACTCTTTACTATCACAGATATTATTTCAGTAAAGTTGTTTCTCTGTTGTATGTGGTATGTGTATCCAGAGGGGGGGTCCAGGGGGTCCGGACCTCCCTTGTTTACCCCAAAAAGGGAAAACACATAAAAGATAATTTTCTGCTTAAAAATGTGGAATTCCATCTTGCATTCTAGACATCAAAATTACTGCTCAGATGCTCTCAGAATGCACCAATTTTTGAAATTTTTCTTGGGGGAGGTCCCCCTAAACCCCCCCCCCCACCCCTAAGTGGCAACATGCCTTAGACGCAGCGCATAAGCTGCCTTCTGCACTTTTTTTTTTATAAAAGTGCCCTTTATTTCTTACTGCATGGACCCCCCCTTTTTTCAAAAAACCGGATCCGCCCATGTATACATGTATGTCTGTCATACTATTTTGGAGTAGTCTACATGTATGGGTGCTTATGCATGTATAAACTGCTTATCAATTTTAACATGCATTTCTCATTAAAACCTCAAAATATTGTTCGCATGTGATGTAACTCCAAATATGTATATTAATAAAACCATTTGTGGTGGATCGGGATGGCTTTAGGGGTGTTGGGAGGCCATCTAACGCAACAAATATTCCTATTTAACATATATTTTCTCACCAAAATTCCTATTTTCCTCCTATTTTTTCACATTGAAATTCCTATTTTCCTATTTTTTGAGCGTCACTTGTCACTTGACGCCCTGGTATTTGCATCTTCGGGTGTAGTTTGTACGCGGCATTTGAACACGATTCGCGTTGAAATGAGTTGCCGAACTGGTTGATGTGATTACAACATGCACATGTATGCAGTACCGGCACGCGGTCATAGTCAGTCCCTCAAGAGGAAATTCAGCCAATGTTTCTGTGTTCCATTGAACCGTGTCTCGGTGCGTGTGTCGGTACCAACAACTGCGCGTGTAACTTTCTCGTTTGCCTTCCTGCCGTTGTGTTCGTTAGTGATTTGCCAGGTATTTTTCACTGAAACGGTGGCTAGCTGTGTGTTTGTTATGCATTAACATATATATCAGTACTAGTATATGGCCAAAGCTAAAATATATTTGCCAAATAAATATGTTGCGGAAGGCCTAAGGCAAAGGGGCTTGCAAAATGCAAAGATGTTGTTTATCGTATAATAGATTATTCTCTCGAGTGACTAAACTTCAATTAAGAACGGGCGGTCTTTCATATAGGTCAGCTATATGCGCCGCCTGACTTTTAGTTCGATTGTGAAAGCACGCATATACAAAGGCGTGCTTTAACCAGAAGACAGTTTGATTTAGCATTCTATGTAGGTTGTTGTTCACCTCGGTATCTTACATTCGTACGCATTTAGCAATTGCGTTTTATTTTTTTCATTTAATTATATCGTCGTCGATTTGGGTCGAGAATCGCATCAGATGCGCCAGTTTTCTACCGCTGGGTGGTTTCGAACGGCTCTGGACACCTATTTTTAATTGCTCCCCTTCCTCCTTTATTCTCATTATAGAAATATGCGCGTGAAGGGATTTTTATATTCGCCGTTTTCATGTTCGATTTTTTGCCGACGATAAAAGAGCCAACGTTATTTTTAATCGGAGCCGTTATAAGCAGACGTGATTTTTTTTATGCTGTTGGTGCACGTTTTTGGCGCGTTCGCGCGTATTGTAGTTTTTGGTTTTTAGTATAGATATGTAAGTGGCAACATGGTTCCGCGCGCGTGTGCACCCTTGATAGTCCGCCGCATGGCCTGGTCGCCTGTGATGTGTTAGATCCAGAAAAAAAGTAGAATGCATGAAGAATGCTTTCCCCCGTCGTGTACGCTGTAACTTGGTGTTTATCTGTGTCGCTTCGTCGTGTCTCGTGTTGTTCTTTATAGCGGATGCACTATAATAACTGCGGTATTCGTGCGTCGTTTGTCTGCGTTCTCGGGCGCCTGCCGTGAATTGACCAATCGATGGGCGCTAGTTGGTCTGTGCGCGGGAATAGCGGTCGAATTGAATTCGGAATTGAATTGAGAACGATGTGGTTTAGTTCTAGACTATGTTGCCATCTTGGTCCGGAGCGAAGAGCTGCCCGTGTAGAGAGCTATATGAGGAAGTACGCGTGAGTGTGTGTGTAAGTGGTGCACGCCCCCCCCCCAAGCTTGGTTCAATGTAAGCATGGGTCGTGGAAAACCAGGAAATGTCCTGGAATTCTTTAAAAAAAACTCTTGCCTTGGGTGTACGAACCCTGTTGGTTTGCATCATGACTATTTGTGCACGAAATAGTGTGCAGGTTTGAGTGGATCCCGAGTGAATGACCTTTGCAGCTGGGGGGGGGGGAACGTACGAACGACATTTCGTTCTATTTGTTCACTCGCGTTGCAGCTCCTGTATGCTTTGAGCAAGCCGAACGGTTCTCTGCACTTGAAAAATAACACGGCGCACCATTGCTGTACGATATCGTTTGCTGTGATTTTGGCGATGGTTGTAAATGTAGATTAATGTTCCCCACTTTGGAAAAATACCTAGTGTTTAACTCGCTCATCTCGCTAATAGGTGGCGCCACTTCGCAAAGGGCAGAGTTAGCGTAGACTTGCCATAATGATGATGAATGTCCGCATATCTATGAGTGGTCACAGTTTATCAGCGCATGAATACATTTCAGCGTGCTAGTTTTAGACTCTATATTAACCCATTAATAATTATACGGTGTCTGGTTAAGTGATATAACCCTTACGTTGTCAGGGATACGTCCTTACGTCCCAGGCTATGAGTCGATGTAGTGGAATAGTATCACACTGCAGAGCAACATTTATAATATGCTTATGTTCATCCGTCTTGTTTTACGTACAAATTCTAGTCTACCGAAATTGCAACAAAACAGGAATGTTGATTTTTTTTATTTAGTTACATTTTTCGTGGATATTGTTGTTTCTTTCCGTTATCTTATTAAAATTCAGCGTGCAGCGTTAAGCAACTGCTAAACGTTTGTGATGTAATTAGGCGCTGTACTATGCTACACATAATTCGTAACGTAGGTCCTGGTGTCGAAATACTCTACTCAAGTTGTTTTGCCGTATTCTGCAGTCATTTTCGCATACATGCTAACAAAATATATGTACGTATAAAAAGGCACAGTATCATTAATAGACTAGATTACTGTTTAGATGGATATAATACAATCAATATATATTTACTGCTTCTATTTTATTTTTCGCTTCATTCTTGTTACAGCAAACCGGAATTCAAAGTGTATTAAACAATACCAAACGAAAGAGAAGGTGAAATGATTAGTAATTACTATGTTGCAGTGTAGTAAGTGGCATACATTGTTTCATTTTGGCCCTGCCCCCAATTCCATCGGCTGACTAAACGTTGTACTGTCGGTTCAATATGTTTTGAGGTTGATGTAATGTTGATAGCCTTGAATTGATACAGATTGACAAATATTTATTGCCCGTTAAGTTTGTTGTTGTTGTGTATTTGGCAAAGGTGAAATAAAAAAAGGCAGTGTAAAACAAGTAGATTAATGTAGGTGTAACTACAAGTTAAAAAAGTAAAACTACTAAAACAAGTTTTGTTTTTACTTATTTTTTGCGCGTGAACCGTGTGTTTATGACTGTTATATAAATCGCGCTCTTTGCATCTAACGTGTTCTCTGCGCAAGGTCGTTATCATGATTAGTTAGCCGCAGACGTGTGCGTCGGTTGTTGTGCGCGTTACAACTAAAACTACCAATAGATGGCAGCACTTGCTGATGTTCCTTGCATAAGATCAGAGCATATAAATCACCGTGATTTATATGCTCTGATAAGATATTGCAGAGTCCAGTCAGCGCGAAATGTGGGGGAAGATAAACAGTGAGAGAAAAAGTAAGAGTGCAATGGAAAAAAGGGAAACCGATGGAGAGGGGACCAAAAATATAGGGAGAGAAACTTTGCGTCCGTAATATACTATATGATTATGTATATATAAATGTAACTAACCTGTAGAGACAGGGTTCTGGCACAGACTAAGGGATATCTGTATCCGTTAGTCTGTGGTTCTGGTCTCGCGAAAGCAAAAATCACGTGCTAGTTTTCTTGACATGTAAACAATCTAATTTGAAATGCAGGTTGGTGCACGTTAGTGAAAAGAATGATGTGCGAGTGTTCCATGACATGTTAGCCTGATGCGAGAACAAATGTTTTCGCGCTAACCCTATCACCAGAAATACACACGGTTAATTTCACGATACGTTCAGTTACATATGTTCGTGTCGTCCCTTGTACTACTAATACTATCAACATAACTACATTTAAATACCCAAGATATGTATGTATATATATATATATATATATATATATATATACACACACATTATATATATATACACATGTTTAACGTTTCAGTAATTAGTTTTACAAAAAACGTACCCCGTAAATTCCTTTATGTCAATCCCTTTTTCCCATTGACTTGTTCGTTTGGAATGGTTATTTTCCAGTATATGCCCCAAGCGTGCCATGTACGTGATTAAATTGTTTCTTCCTTTCACATCGGTTTTAAAATAATCATCACATCGACGATATTTGTTAATGGTTTGTTTTTTGTTGTTAGTAATTTTGTTAGTTGTTACAGAGGGAGTGAACTCAATAAAATATGTAATTAATTACCTGTGGGAGGGATAAAAAGCCCCCTTATCCGCGTTTTGTTCTAGTTCAAAATGTTTCCTTTTGAAATTATTTTAAAAACAAGTACTAATCTTCGATGTTGATGCCCCGCAGTTGCTGTTTGGATCTACTGTTTATTACTCGTCACTGTGGCTTAATATTAATTAGGGGGTGGTAAAACTATAGGCGCAGTTTTATTATTACAAATAACTCGTATAATATAAACGTCCCGTTTCGGCGTACATATGCTCTCAAATATATTCTTTTCTAGTGCGGTTAGTTCTAGCTTCCCCTAAAGCATATACACAAATAATGTAGTATTTCTTTAAAATTTAATTTATTTGGCCATACCTATTCGTTTTTGCGGACAAGCAAACCAAAGGCGAGTACTACATATTTTACTGTGTGAATCCATGTTTGAAGGGATATTGCTTCGATTAATTAGCGTCGAACGACTGTATTATAAATTATTATTATTGTTAGTATAAACAATAATAAATATATCGCGGTTCAATCAAGCATAATTGTTTGCGCGGAAAGAACTGTACAAGAATTTCTATCTCGTTCATAAATGAACATTTCCGCGTCAAATCTATGCTCGGCAATGACTTCTATGTTGACTTTTCTTGCTATTAAACGAAAACGTAACACACATCAGACCTGAACCACTCAGAAATTGTAAGTTTAGGCGTGTGCGTTACACGTTGGAATAGGACCGGGTTGTCCCGGGTTCAATTCTTGTGAGGTAACTTCGTAAAATATTTTAAAACTCTTGTTGAGTAAAATTTAACACATAGATTCTTTCTGAAAATATAAAGAATGGTAAGTTTGGGGGCTAGCGTATCGTGCTGGGCTGGTACTCAAAATATCCGGGTTCAAATCTTGTCAAATATTACGGTAAGATATTTTCGAGATGTTGTTAGATGATGGTGAAATGTAAACACAACTTGACCATGACCAGTGAGGTAAACATTTTGAAAATGGCTCAAGGATATGGCCTTGAGCTCAAGGCTATGGCCTTGGCCTAGTTATGTAGAAATTGTAAAATTGTAAAATGTAATGGCCTTGAGCCCAAGGCCATGGCCTTGAATTCAAGGCCACGGAAAATTGTAAAAATTGTAAAATGTAATGGCCTTGAACTCAAGGCCATGGCCTTGACCTCAAGGCCACGGGAAATGTTAGAAATGGGAAAATTGATCAAGGTCAGTCTCAAGGTCCACGCAACAACAACTCCTGCATTCTACTCTGCTCTACCATACTGCTCTACTGCACTGTACTCTATTGCTTTACTGCTCTACTATACTACTCTGCTGCTCTACTGCACTGTACTCTACTCTACTATATTGCTCTACTGCTCTATTGCACTGTACTCTACTGCTCTAGTTTATTCTACTCTACATGCGGAGATTGCAAGCACCGCAACCAGCGATTCACTGCACTGTATTATCCTACCACTTTACTATTTACTGAAATATGTAGTTTTTTTACAAATTATTGTGAACATTTTTTAAATAATCGCCATCATATAAAAAGTACCTCAAAATTTTTAGTTAAGAGTATATTTATTAGAAGGTATTTCAATCGTGAAAGCATGTGCTAATACGCACGCGCGTGGACTTCAATATAACGAAATAACGTAATAAATGTACGTAATTATAATATATGTAAATTAATAACAAATATAAAAACGCGAGTATATAATTATTCAGGGGACCGTTGTCAGGAACATCTGAAGTAAATTCCTTTGCAAAGGTTTTGACAGTGGCCCGCAGGCGTACACATCATACTCTGAAAATCACGGGGGATGTTTGAGAGCACATGTTCAGAAATATGACTTACCAGTGACAGAGGAATATTAACTAGATCAAATATATTATTTATCTATGAAATTTGTAACGACATTAGTTTATAAAGGCTGACCGATGTATTATTTTACCATAAGGCGAAAAGTGTTTTACAACCACTATTTTTAGTTTAAAGTTCCATTTACAATTGATATACATTGGTGGTTTTACTCAAAGCTTTTAATCACGCATTCATGCTTTAATTTAACCAATATATCCTCTAATAATATTTAAAGAATAAAAATTAAAGAAATATATTATGGATGTAAAATGTTTGTAAAGAGAATATAGCTAGTTAACAACGCGTTTATCATAGCCCGCTTGCAATTGTCGTCGTCATTGGCATCCCACTGACCAGTCAAATCACTGACGAAATGTCGGGTAGCTGTCTACAAGAAGACGTTCTACTTTACGTGATGAGATCAGTACAAATAGTATCAGGAGTGGATAATAGAGATCTCTATTATCAACTCCTGATAGTATCTCCAAACTCAGGTCGTACCCTCCGGTAACCACTGAATCGCTGGCTGCTCGACGTTGCTTCGAAAACGTGTCGATTCTCCGTGTCCTCTGCATGTTTATCCGTTTACGGCGCGGCGATTGGCACTGGAAAAATATTTTATGTGCATAAAATTAATATGAAATTCGACAACGAAAGGCGGATGACGGATCAGTTGCGACCGACAATGAAGTTTGTGCAGTTTTATCTACCCGCCCCTCTCTGTCGCGGGCTCTCTCTCGCGCGCGCGCGTTCTCTCTCTCTCTCTCTCTCTCTTTTTGTTTTCATTTGGCCTTCATTTGGACAAAAATCTGAAAAAATATCTTCCCATTGAGCTAGACACATGAATTTTTGCATGCACGTACCAGACATAATAACCATCCACTGTATGAAGTACGAAAATGGTAGCTTACAGTTAAGGTAAGTAATTCAGGTAATTAATTAGGTTAATTAAAACATTGTGTGTATAGAAATTGATACACAAAAATCTTTGCAGAAACAACTCGCTTTGCAGTCTGAAAGGTTCAATAATTATGCAACAAATGTCACTCAATAGATTAGAACATTTCCAATCCACCACTTTTCAAATCAACGAAATCGGACAATTTATTGCGGATTTAGGTCAATTTTAGCTAGCAGCAAAAATTATGCAAACTTTTTGGAAATCCGTACTTTTTGGACACGCAAATAAACACAAAAAGACAGACTTTTGGCCAGTTTTATTGATGTGACATCGAACATGGATAACTACTAAAGGTATTTACGACAAAAAAAAATCGGCTTTTTACTACTTTTAGGTGAAAAATCACCTATAACTCAGAATGAACATTGAGGTCCTACAGCATGTTTTGATCTGACAGGCTACATATATTATATAAATAAATAAATAAATATATATATATATTTATTTATAGATTAAATAAAATAATATAGATATATTATAGATAGTGAGCAATGAAACGTAGTAATCAACCGTACTATTGATGTCGTGTGCGATACCTACCATGAGCGAGAATGAAAGCAAGGAAACAAGTGAGAGAGAAACCTGGGCGCGCGCGTGTATGTGTGTGCGTGCGTTGGAAAAACAGGCATAGAGCTCGAATATGATGTAAAAGAGCGATATTGAGGGAAAAAGAACTTGAAGAGAAGGCGAATGGGAGAGGAGCGAAAAAACAGGGAGAGGAATTACGCGTCCGTAATACACTATATGCTTTCTCCTCCAGGCAAAATGAGTTAGCTACGGCCAAGGCAGTTCTCCTGAAAACCGTCAATCAGCCCAGCGATATGACTCTGCGCGCGTTATAGTCCATTCACCCAGATGTTAATGGAAAACGCTCTACCGTTCCACTATGGTATTAATGGTACTCAGCATGATATAGATGGAGCGTAGGCACCCATACGTAGGTACGTGTTTATTTAAAGGGACACGCCTCTTGCACATCCGTTGCACCTTCAACCGCCTATGATATATGTCACCACTGAAATATACACAGTGAGCTCGATAGCAACAGTATCCGAACTGACATTGATACTTTATATATTTACCTAAATAAAACGCATTTATCAGCGGTTCCCCCAAACAACAAGTTGACAGATTAACATTGAAATAACGATAACCCGCGATTTTGCTTTGACATACACATTTTAATTTCCAAGTTTACATAATAGTTACATTACTAGCCACACTTTATATCAACTGAACTCTTGCTCTTTGGTTCGTGGGCTGACTAGCTTTAACAAAAGATTCTGCTACGACTTTACTACTAATCTACATTACCGTAACAAAATGCACGGTGTTCCTAACCAGAGACATTCCAACGACGATCGTTACTTCAAGTTATCATCTGGCCTTAAATATAGATTAGCTACATTGAAAAACTATGGATTGTTCCACAAAACCTAATTAACTACACTTTCAGAGCATACGCGGCTTTCCCGCGATCCGCAAACATGCAGCCTCCTCGCTTTTACCGCATTCCGACGACGCCGACAGTATATCTGCACGATTTGTGTGCAGAGAGCGACATACGCGATGTCGCATTACATACAAAGTACCGAGAACATGTTCGCCAGAAAAAAAACACATGCGAATTATACCGAACAACGAAGCTTGGATATTGACGTGTCTGCAATCACTAATGCACGTAATAAGCGCGTGCAGGACGCACACCCTACCCTCGTCCTCGCTTCCTGCTTTTGTGCTGAAAATCTCAAGGATGTTGTGTAATCGTGTGTACATAGCGGCTTATTTTGAAAATACAGTTCCCACGTCCAACGTGACTTCCTTCACCTACAACTTCGCTCGGCAACAATGAGTGCTTGTGGGAAACTGGGTTACTGTGTCCAGGTTAGCCGTGAATTTAAAGTAGTTGGTTCGCACCTTCACGGTCACAGAGAGTCGACGCTATAACCGCAAAGGAAACAGTTGACCTATTTCTGTTCACGCTTACTGGCAAGGATTTGGCCACGCGGACACTGCAGCGACTGCGACTAGTAATTAAACGCGTGTCACTAACAACTGCGCGTTTCTTTACCGCTAGTTCCTCAAACTCTAAAATGAAAGCCGCGTAAAGTGGCGTTAACACGGCATATCATAATAATTAAACACACGTCGATTTGATATCACGGTGGAACATATCAGCAAAATAATGGGGAGAATATGCGAGAGAATGAATCTAAGAGAGCTGACATGATATATAGACTTTAGCGATTAATAACACTACGCTAAGTATTAGGATTCTAATACACGGTACGCACGCATCCTTATGCAACTATAACGCAATGAAACAGAATACCTCAAGTTAACTCAGTAGGGCTGGCTTTATTTGAAACTCATTTATAGGCACCTGAAGTAAACCGAAGTGAATGACAATGAATGAAAGGTGGCGGAGTAGGTCAGACTCTAAGATTTTCACTCGCTACAACTGTACTTACTGTAATATCATCGACAAATCGGTCTCTATACCCACGACGATTTGTCGACCCAGAATACTAATTTAATTTGCGCTAACAAGAGACACCATGCAACGCTACGCAAATTTGAACGGGACGCCAGACATCCCACGACTGGACGCCAACCAAGGCGGCGAGGAGGTAGCCCCCGGTCTGACAAAAAGTTGCGGTGGCATTATCCAATTCAAGTTTGCACGTTACAGAACCGAAGGCAATCACAAAGAGCAATTAATTTTATACCGTCTAACTGCTATTAACCGACACGATTTTATTTTAGGAACAATTATCCAAATATAACGGGAAATACCTATATGTCAATTTAAGAATTAGGCCGCCAATCCTTTTGCTTAAATACATACAATAAGAAGACGACCCTCGTCGTACCCTCTGCTGAAAAGTGTTTGGCGCAACTTATCAGACGTGCACTTGGGTGGCGTCCACGCGAGTCCGTGTAATCAATCCAGTAGTCGTAGTTTTAAACATTTCTTAATAAATCTAATGGGATAAACCAATGAGAACTTTATATGTAGCGTACTTTTAACCTAAATTACTGAACAATAACCCAGACAGAGGGAAGCGATAGAACCTAGAGTAAACGATCGCATTTAAGTATGAATTATAACAGCTACGGAAGCTTCACTTGAGCACGAATTAATTACTCGCGTTAGCGTGATTCGACAATACACGGGGACGCGGGACGCTTCGGCCACCGTGTATACTGACCGGTGAGTATATCCTGGCGATAAGAGAGAAACCGCGTCACGGGGCGTGACCCGCAGAGTCACGAGTGATTCATTTAACGTATGCCTCTGAATGTTGAACAACTGAGCAAGGCTAAGGAGATAATAAAATGCTCGTTTGTGTCTATACGCAATAACATAGCAAATCAACACAGGAATTAGGGGTGATTTAAGTTTTAAACCAAATGTGTTTGCGATCCGGGCTTCTCTCGCTCTTCTCTCCCTCTCTACCTCCTCCTCTCTCTTCTCTGCGTTCCCTCTCTCCTACTTGCCGTTCCTCCCGCCTCCTCTCTGCCATCTTGCTCTCCCCACTTTACCTTGCTCGTTGGCGCTCCCTGCCTTTCTCTCCACCTCTCTCTCTGCCTCCTCTCTGCCCCCTCTCCGTCCCCTCTCCGTCCTCTGCCTTTCTCTTTCACCTCACTGGCGCGGTCGCTCTGCCTCCATCGCTGCCCTCGCTCTCTCCTCTCGATCTTCTCTCTCTGCCTCATCGTCCTCTTCGTCTCTCTCGCTGCATGTCGCTCTCACTGGTGTCTGTTCTCGTGAGGTCTCCGCCTCTCCTCATCTCTCCTCTCGGTCCTCGTTTTCTTTTTCTTCGTCTCTCTCTCTCTCTCGCTCAGTCCATCTCCTCTCTCTCCTCGAGACCGCCACAGCCCTGCGCCTTCTGTCTGCATCGCTCTCTCTGTGATATATATCTCTCTCGCTCTCCTCCCTCCTCTCCTCCCTTCTGCTATCTCTCTGCTCGAAATCTTTTTCTAGATCCTCTCTATCCTCTCCTCTCTCACTCGAACTCTATCTTCTATCCTATCTATCCATCTACTCCTCTATCCTAGCTCTCCCTTTCCTCTTCTCGCTCTCCTCTCTCTCTCTCCTCTATCTTTCCCGTTCTCTGGCTCTCGGCTCTCCCGCCCGCTCTCCTCTTGCGTCACACTCCTCCTTCTCCCTTCCTCGCTCAGCCTCCCCTCTCTCGTCTCCACCGCCCCCTTCCTCGTGAGTCTCTCTCGCTCGTCGTGACTATCTCTCCCTCTCTCGCCCCCCCTCACCTTCTCTGCGGCCTCGCTCGCTCCGCACTCTCTCCTCTGCTGTCGCTCGCTCGCTCTCAGCACGTCATCCTGTCTTGCCGCTCTCTTTCTCCGTCCTTTCTCTATCTGCAGGTCTGTCCATGGTCTCCCCCCCGCTCGGTCCTCCCCACCGCTCGACGCCGTTCTTCTGCGCTCCTCTCTCTCCGTTCTCTCTCTCTGCAATTCATCTATCTTTCCACCTCTCTCGCTCGCTCGTTCGCTCTCGCTTTCCCATCTCTCTGTCAATCGCTCGCCCTCGCACTCTCTGTCTCTCGCTCTCTCTCTTTCTCTCTCTCTCTCTGCATGTCTATCTATCTTTCCACCTCTCTCGCTCGCTCGTTCGCTCTCTCTTTCCCCTCTCTCTGTCA